TTTATTATTCTAGTTAAAATTGATCTACCAATATTAATAATTTAAAAGTAAAACGCGGGACTAAAAATATTCACTGTAAATTAAGAGATATATCGATTTTGTGTATTATTCACTTAATTTTATTTGCATCCAATAAGTAACCACAATAAAACTTTAGGTTTGATGCAGTCTGGCAACTATATAAGTGGCAACGATTTGTTTACTTATCAGCCATCATATGTTTCTGGTGTTTTGCGAATTTTCCATTTAGTTAATTTTTACAAAAAAAGTGAATTATAAAATATAATTATGAAAATCAAATAATAGTTAGTAATACGTGAAAAATGCAGTACGGCACAACAACGCAAAAGAATTTTTTGCACAAAGAAGTGAAGCTGCACAAATTGCACACGCACACAAAATCTTATAGTGGTTCGTATCTATTGTAAATCCTATTAATTTTTCCTTTTTAATAAAAATTTTGGTAATCCATAAGATGCTGATTTGGTGCTAAATCCAAAAGAACATCCTGATGTTAAACTGGGAGATGTGGTGGAAGTTTTTCACCGTGAAGATGAGGACTGTGGCAGTCGATTGTTGTTGCAGATAACAAAATTCAATGAAGGCGACGTGAGTTAATAAAGTTAAATTTTTTTAAGCAAAAAATATATTAATTGCGTGTTATAATATTTATAGACCAACTATAAAGGAATCAGTATCGAATCGGGTATAGCACAACAATTTAATCTTAGAAAATATACTGATGTAGTTATGCGCCTTGTGAATGCAGCAGACGTAGCATTAGATTCTATTGAAATTACATTCAAAGATCAGTATATGGGTCGATCTGAAATGTGGCGTCTTAAAACATATTTAGTAAGTATAACATACATATAAACTGTAGTAAATACTTATAATTATATATTGTGTTATTTTGTAGACAAATACGTGTGTTTATATAAATAAAAAAATTGATTTTAATGATATGCTTATACGTTGCCAAGTATATGAGATGTGGTCACAGGGTGAACGCGTTTCCTGTGGTGTCATTACTGAGGATACGAAAATAGTGTTCCGCAGTAGCACATCAATGGTTTATTTATTTCTACAAATGTCTTCCGAAATGTGGGATTTCAATATACACGGCGATTTATATTTTGAAAAAGCAGTGAATGGTTTTTTGACTGAATTATTTCACAAATGGAAAAAGCTCGGTTGCAATCATGAAGTAACAATTGTACTATTTTCTCGAACATTTTATGCTGCAAAATCGTTAGATGAGTTCCCTGAGCATATGAGAGATTGTCTACAGTTGGATTATAAAGGTCGATTTTATGAAGATTTCTATCGTGTAGCTATACAAAATGAACGTAATGATGACTGGTGTACTGTATTAGCTCAGTTACGAAAACTCTTTACATCATATCAGAGTACAGTATTGCGTTATCATGAGCGCGAAGGTATAAGAATACCACAAGCTACAAACTCCACAGCTGCACAAGGAAATTTCTTGGAAGTGCTTAATATTTCTTTAAATACATTTGAAAAACATTATTTGGACCGTACATTTGATCGTACAGGACAGTTATCTGTTGTGATAACACCTGGTGTAGGAGTTTTTGAAGTGGATCGTGAGCTTACAAATATCACTAAACAAAGAGTATGATTTTGAAATATTGTTATTTTATTTTTGTAATAATTTTTTGTATGTAGATTATTGACAATGGCGTAGGCAGTGATTTGGTTTGCGTTGGTGAACAGCCGTTGCATGCTGTACCACTACTAAAGTTTCATAACAAAGACACCTCCCTAACTTCTGCTGATGATTACTCTCTACCACATTGGATTAATTTAAGTTTTTATTCGACAAACAAGAAGATCGCATATTCCAACTTTATACCACGTATAAAGCTGCCACCAATTATAGCAAATGCAACCAATAATGAGGAATATGATGTAAATAATATTAAATATAATATAAATAAAATAACTTTTGGAATGTTTTGTAGGAAAGTGAGAAAAATTTTTTAAGTTGTAATCAATCAGAGTATTTACATAATTCATTATTCGATTACGATGCTTATGATGAACAGATCTTTCAACCACTACCAGCTCAAGGCACTTGGTAAGAAACACTAATCAATTCAAAATATAATTAAAATATATATTTATATATATTATATGTATAGTATAATATATAATTTAACAGTGTTAAATAATTATATGGCTATTTGTTTATTATATTTTTTATTTTTATTTATATTTTACCACATACAAGAACAGCAATTGATTTTGTTTTTCAAAAGAAATTTAATATTGACATGAATTCAGACCTATTTAATTTTGTATTAGCTTATCTTTGTTGTTTGAAAAGACAAGTGGCTCCGGGGCTTGTATCCGCCCACTCTAAGTGACAATTCATTTTTGTAATTGTAGTTATTCGTCTCATTGTTATATTGTCTTCGAGAAACTCCGCTTAGTTTTAGGGATTGATATGCGGTACCTAAATATTTGATCCTAGATATTACAAGTAGGTTGAGCTTATTGATCTGACATTATTCTATCAACAGTTTATTCTGGATGCTGAAGTTATAGTTTGTGCTGTCGTTGACTGACTTTATTTTGTGATGTTTTTTGAACACAAAATAACATATTTTCTTTGAAGAATTATTATTATAAATTTTTTTTGTGTATTCATTTTATATAAATTGTTTAATATAATATTATTTTTAGTTCCTTGCAGCGCATAATACGTGCGAAGAAGACTTCAGTGCCAAGCTTAGAGACTTATGCATATCGAAATAATGATTGGGATAATTTAACTCCAATTAAAATTCCTAGTTTACGAAGAAAAATGTCTGATCCTGATATACATCATGGCACTTCAGGCATGTTAGCATCTTTGGTAAGTTAATCTAACGCGATAATAAAACTATTCATAATAAAACTATTCGTCAATCGCTTTTAGACTGATACGATAAATCTTTCTGAATCACTTGCTTCTGATAACAAAGCGCGTAGATCTATTGTATCTATAGCACCGATTGTACGACCAGGACGTGCCTTAATAAATCCATTTGATCCATCACATGTTACAATAAAATTAACATCAAATCGTCGCCGTTGGACACATATATTTCCTAAAGTAAGAAGCAACCAGTTTTATTTTTTTTTTTTTGTAATTTTACATATGATATGATATCTTTTTATAGGGCCCTACTGGTGTACTTATACAGCAACATCATTATCAAGCTATACCTGCAAAACCAGCACTTCCTATTAACAATAACAATGAGAATGAATATTCCTCAGGTTTTAATTCTTCTGATTATGATCACACATCGAATTGTTCATCGTTAAACAAATCGTATAATTCCAATCATAGCGAAGAGAAAATTGATTGTATGTAAATTATATTTAACAGTATTGAATTATTTGTTTTTTGTTATTTATATTATAATTTATTTATTTGAATTTAGTTACAAAAAAACGTAATAATTCACTTTTAAGTACAACAAATAATGGACCTCTTATAAATAGTGCTGTCCCACCCTCAAAAAGTTTCTTATGGGGTGCTACGGGTGAACAAGAATGGACTCCGGCAATAACGACAGGTAAGTCTAAATGTTTTCCTTCTTTTTTTGTTACCAAGTTTTTAATCATATTTAATTATCAATAATAAATAAAAAAGTTAAATTAACTTTTATAATATATCCACTAAAATACTACATTTAAAACAAGCTAAAAATTATAACATTAAACAAGTTAAAGCAAAATATTATATATTTAATATAGTTTAATAAATTTTAAAAAAACTTAATTAATGTTGAAACTTTTTCTTTAATGCCAAATTTCCTGTCCACATGTGTTAATGTTATACAGCTTTTGTCATATGTGTTCATATCTTTTCTTGCAATTATTGCCTTTTGATTAAAACAGAAAAGGTCAATTGTATGTCTCTTTTAAGAACAGAAGAGATCGGTTTACATAATTTTTCTGTGGGTAAAATGGAATAGTTATAAATTTTTCAAGTTCGCATAAAATAACTTTACAGACAGTTTTACGATGTACACTTAATTAAGTAACCCTTAAGTGTTCGATAGTTAAGTGTACACTGCAAAATTGGCCCTTAATGTATTTAACTTAAAATAATTGGTTAATAAAAAATTTGTGTATTAAAAATTTTTCGCTATAATAATATTAAATTATAAAATAAATAATTTTTTTTTATTGAAAAAAGTATATAACTGTAAATTAAATATAAACTATATAAAAATTAATTTAAACAATAATGAGGTTAATAATAATATAATTAATAAATGAAATTTTGTGAGCATAAAAAATATATTAAATAAATAAATATATTTATAAAATATGTATATATTAAATAAGTACATATTTTTAAATGTTAATGATAAAAAATAAACTAAGACTATTGTTAATAATTTTTAATACGTAGGAATTTTAGTTTCTTTTTAAAAAATATATGTGTATATAATTTTATTTGAAGTTTATTGATTCTGAGGCATCACATATAAATAATTAATAATTCATTTATACTACAATCATATCTATAATTTAATTTACATTTCTATTTTTATAAAGAGGTTTTTTCGAATAGTAGTGAACTACAACAACAACCATTTTATTTTTTATATTATTTTAATTAATTGAATTTTTAGCTGATCAGGCAATGTCCTTTGAATGTCTTTTTGGGTTGGCAAATAAAAAAGAATATAATGCTGTATCTGAAGAATTGGGATAATTGCGGCATCACAGTCATGTTATGTTTCGCTATAAATTCTTGGATAAGCAAAGTAGTAGTCAATAGTTTCGGGAACTTAAGCCTTGAATTTTAAAAAGCTTTATTATAATTTACATTTTGAGTTTGGCGAAATAATAAATATTTCCTAATATTTGACATAAAGCAAAGAATACTCTTTTTTGTTTAAAACTTAAGTAAGTGGATCATTTCCTGATAATTTATTGTAATAAAGTATTTTCACCAAAAACTCTTTCATATTCTTCTGCCACTTTCTTGCATTTGGAATATATTAAGCTATAGCCAATTTAATTCCAGTTTTCTCTCGCGTCTATTTAATACCGATCACAGTTCAATATTTATTAAACAACAACTAGTTTGTCATTTGTGAAAACAAAATATAAAAAATATGATTAAATTGCTATTACATATTAATTTCGTTCCTCATTTAAGGTTTCTATTTAATAATAATTTTGTCAATAGATAATAATAATTGGTCATTAGTTAAATAATCAACTTTTTAAAAAATATATTCTATAATCATCATCATGACACAAATATAATGACGATACAGTTAATTTAATAAATGAATTCAGAAGCATTTAAAAAATTTAAGGAAATTCTTATAAGAACCAAATGAACTTCAATTAAATTAAATAAAATTAATATATAATTATAAAGATATACTATTTGCATAAAAACTTATAATTGAGCAATTTTATAAAGTATATATTACTTATATTTTCGAATATTATTAAAAATTAATTTATTTTTAAACTGATTTTTAATCAAAACTAATATATCTTATTAGCATTAATTATAAAATATAATAAATACGTACAGTGAAAGCTTTTTTAAAAGGGCGTTATTATAAACGGACATATTCCATTACCATGAAATGTTGCTAATCTCTATCCATTGTTTATATAAAGTAAATTATTTTAAACTATCTGTTCTCTTAGTTGGAGAGAATTGCTAGTTGCACCGATGTCCTCTTAAGGGAGCTCTCAATATACATATTAACTTATATACAGTATTAAGAATAAGAAATGTTTTAGTTACAAGGGGGTTAGTTTAGTTTTTAATAATATAAAAAATATTCTGCAAGTTTTTAAGTTTAAATAAGAAAAATATTAATATAAATAATTTTATATATTTCTTCATAATTAAATACATACAAATGAAGTAGTTAGAGTACTAAAAACTCAGAAAAAATGCTTGCCAATCTAAAACAAATCACGTATCATTAAAGGAAATGTTTTATTAACTCATTGAGTATCGACACAATGCAATATGCAATAACATATAATTTATTATATATTAAAAAAAAATTAATAATTTTAACTAATTATTTATTTTTTTGTCTTTTCTTTTATATAAATTTATTATACATATATGAAAATTGCAAATTAAAAAAAATAAAATAATTTAAATAAATAACCTTACCTGCATCCTCAACCACAAACAACCACGCTACATAACGTATTTTTGGAATCAAATAATGTTTGTTTGCATTTAATTAAACATTTTTTATTAAGTGAATGCTATGAATACCAGAAAACATTTGAAACCCATTGTTGAAACTGATCAGAAAGGAATTACCTGTACAGACGCAGACGGAGGTGGAAAAATTATAATAGGTTTGCAATAGTTCAATTCAGTAAAATTTCCTTTTTTTATATAAACACACACACAAATAATATTTGCACATTAGTTTAAAAACAGCTTTATTTAAAATTTTATATATTTTTGGGTTAATCAATTCATATTGTGCAAGAACTTCTATTAAAACTATATATATTTAAACCAATTATGAAAATGGATAACCATTTATCAAAGGAAAACAATATCAGATTTGGTGCTACTAGTTTACAATGATTTTAACCTTAGGTGTAGAGGTAAGTAATTTATTAAGTATCTATATCTATTAAATGCTCACCTATTGATTGTTTAAAAATTATTATTAAACACTTAATTCGTTTATATAGGATTCAGATTACTTTGATATAGACTTCTTCTTACTTGCAACTGATTATGCTGTCTTCTTATTTGATTTTCTGATTATCCGCATATGATACACGTACACTGATCATATGAGGTATACTTGCAAAAATAGTCTTACACTATAGATTAGTATCTATTGCCTGAATAGAAGTATGAAGTTAATTAGTGTTACTGAATAATTCATCCCCTGACTCTTTAAACTTATTATGCTATCGATTATCGAATTTCGAGGATTGAGTTTATTAAGTTCTAAACTTAATCATATTTTCTAATTCCTGGTTTTGCAAACATGGTCGCTAACCAATATATGAATGAATTTGCAAATAACGATAATTACTCTATACGGTGTTATATATAGGAAGGGGAGAGAGGTTGTTTTGAATATTGAAATATAGTATTGAGTAGTATAGAAATAATTGAGATATATATAATAACATATAGTTATTATATATTATGTTTGAATAAATTTTTAAAAACACCTCCTTAAATGTGTCTCTGCATATGCTTCTATCCGTATAGATCTCCTATCACCGGTATCTCTTGTAGAAGCATATAGCTTATTAACTATTTACCTGTCATAGATTACTTTATTTATTTATGCGTAGAATCTATATTAATGAGATGGAGTTTTAATTTAATTTAATATCAATAACTTAATAATAGATTAACATAGAGCCAGTAACTAATGTATGAGTAAGCTGGTAAAAATACTGATTACCCCCTAATATATCATCAATATATCATCCCTTAAAAGGGATCTTTTGGATGAACATTTGAATAAATTACTAAATTCAAAACAATGCTGAATCTAATTATATTAAATCTTGTTATTTGACGTTCAAGATAAAAATATTATAATAGAATTTAGTCGGATTTTTGCGATTACCAACCAGACCAACTAATTGTGACCTCTCTGTGATGTATAAACAATTAACTAATTAACTGTTTTCATACGTTTTTCTCATCTACTATTTTTTTGTTAGTCATACACAAATTTTCTATACTTGCAACGGGTCAATGAAATCAAAACTATACTAAAGGTAATTTTCGTTAATATTGTTTATTTGTGTCCATGGTAAAGGTAGCCGTTGCGGAGATCTATATAATATAGTAGATAACATGA